CAGCCGGCTCGCGCCTGTTGAAAAGACCGGAGCCTCGCCGGCACCACGGACAGATCCCGCGGTTGCCAGTCATGTCGCTCAGTGGCCGCGCGCCGGGTGTGGCCAGGCTCAGGAGGCCTTCCTCCTGGTTGCCGCCTCTTGAGGGCTCGGATTCCCAGCCTCCTAGTAGCAAGCGGTTCCGTCTGGGGGAGCCGGGCGGCGTTTCTGAGGTGGGGTGGCGGCTGCCTTTGGTGCCTCGCTTATCTGAGGTGGAAAAAGTCTGGGAGTTGTCCCCCAGACCGTTCAAGACGCTTCTTTTTCCAAAGACGGCGTTTTTTGATAACTCCACCAACTCGTGTGTGGAGAAGTCAGCCAGTGAGAAGCACATATGTAATCTGGGATGCCCAAATGGCAAATTTCTGACGAGTAGCTGTTCTCAGTCTCTCCCGTCACGCGGTTTTGATTCTGGTTTGAGGGTTTCGGAAATGTCTTCTGAGCCAGCACCGCGTGACAGAGAGGTTTTCAGGGCGCGCCAAGGCGTTCTGCCTGGCACCTCCATACACCGCAGACACGGAGTTAGACCCGAGGATGAGAACCAATGCTTAGCCCAAGAGAGAAGCGACATTCTGAAAGACAATACTTACATAAGACAGACAGAAGATCCATTTTTAGATGTTACCTTTCACAAGAAAGCTAGATCAACATTTCGTGAAATTAAGAACAGATGTAAAGCTGACAGTGTTATGCCATCAAATAAAAAAGAAAAAATTTCATCATCTACGCTAAAAATACCAAAATCTCAAAACCAACCCAGCTTGGAAATTGCCAAACCCAACTATTTTAGAGACAGCAGCACAATAAGTATCCCTGAGTTTTCAACAGATTTAAATAGCAAAATGTCCCCTGTCTATTTAAAGCAAATAGCAAAGAAAAAGAATGACAAAAATGAGGCATATGTTAGGGATTTCACAAACATTTACTGGTCCCAAAATAGACCTGATGTTAAGAAGCAAAAGTTACAGGATGATAAAAAAATTGAGGATGCAGAAAATACGTTTTTTGAACTTTATAAAACTAACCACCAGTCAGGCAGCAACCAAAATATTTGTGAGAGAAAAGACTTGATCAGTTTAAACTACTATACCAACAATAGTGTCAAGTGTGATGTAAGGGACTTTAAAAAGAATTTCACTATAATACTTGAAAATTCTAATTGGGAAGAAGCAGGAACATGCCTGGATGGGTGCATACCTAGTAGGCTGGAAAAATCTCAAAGCTGGGACTATAACATTAGATATGTTTTGAGAAGAAATAGGGAAAATTGTTGGATTATGAATAATTACAAGACTACCTGTGAAACTATGAAAAAAGAGGGAGAAAATGTGAATGTGCTACAATTATTAGAAATAGACTTTTTAGGAGAGGGAGTTTACCACGATACAAAAGTCATGAATATACATGAACAATCAAATCCTCTCAGGGCAAGAACTCAGTGTAGCCAAGCAACTTTGATAAAAACAGTTTGGTTAAATGGTAAAGGAGAAAATGTTAATGTGCTACAGTTGAGGTACTATACTACACAAAAAGACTCTCATTTTAACATTTTTCAAAGTATCATTATACAAATTTTCTACTTCCTTAAGAGTATTTCAGGAAATCAAGAAGATGATAGCATTTCAATCTGGCATAAAATTTTGAAGAGTAAAAAGCAAATTGGTGTTCAAAATCGGATAACTAGAATGAATGTCATTACAAAGAATGGCATTTTAAGCGTTTATTTACAAACCAGTATTTCAGAACCTTTAAATATCACACTGAGAACCAACATAGGTTCTTTACTGAATAACTTTGACATTCTGACAAGTTTTCAAAGTGATTCTGAATTAGAAGAGGGATACATTTTCAATTGGATATTATATTTATATCATCCAAAATGTATTACAGTGGAAAATCACACTGCATATCTACTAGGAATTTTAACTTTTTCAGGAATATTAGAAGATAATGTAAAACCTATGTTAAAAGAAAGAAAACTATTTAAAACTATAGATGTTTTTGGGGAGCCTAAGGAGAAAAATATCAATTCCTCCATACTAATAGCTAATGTTTTTAAGATGTCTAAAAAGTTTTTTCTTTCAATGGACTTCGATGACCTGAGTGACATGTCTTCTATAAAAGAAATTAGTTATAAAAATATGAGTTGTTCTGAACAGTTCATGAATATGGAAAATTGGACTCACTGTAGTTCTAGCACTGTTGGAACACATGTTAAATCAGATCCTCACTTTATACAGAACAACCATGAATGTATTAATGAAAAATGTGAAATAAATATGTACAACCAAGATTTAGGTACTGAAAGAAAACAGGAATGCAATAACAACAGTAGTTTTAATTCTAAGAACATGCTTGAAGATTTCTTCATGGATAAGCAACAAGCCATAGTAAATCAGGTGTTAAATATTGGGAACTTTTGGAGTAAAGTAGAAGAAAAAAAATATTACTTAATTTTGAAGGAGGAAGTAAAAGTCACATCACAAAATTTGACAAATGGTTGTCAAATTCATAAAGATACTAAGACAGAAGAGAAAGAGAAAGATTTTCCTCTAATGAATGGCATATTTTCTTTGCAGTCAGTTTCAATAAGTCTTAAAGTAAGTGTGAGAGAAGCTAAATATGCTAATCAAAATAACGTAGCTTTCAGAAATGAGTATGAGAATATTTTGCAAGAAAGTGAGCAAGCTAATTCAAAGCATTTTTATCCAAAGAAAGATACTACATTTTGTGTTAATCATCAATTTGAAAGTGATTTGAGTGAAGGGAACAATGAATGTTTTCAGAACTTAACTCCTAAATGTTTATCAACAGAAGCTCTGACAATAGAGGGAAAGATTTTGAGATGAAGAGTAAATTTGATTTAGTACTTGAAGAACTTCGTATGTTTCATGAAATTAGTAAGGATGACAAAATTCTAGGCACTGTGGAAACAAACAATGGACAAGAAAATTACTGCAGAGAAAGTAATGATGATGAGGTAAACATGGAGATAGAAAAGGATTCAAAAATGATGGCAGTCAACAAAATATGTGCATCTTCTTTGATCTGTGATGCTGTAGCAGGTCCTAATATGCATAAAAGGCATCACAGTTTATTCAAATGGAATACAGCACCCAAAAATGGAGAACAGGAAGTCCATAATGGGCGTTGCTGTCCTAGGACACGAGAGGGTGAATTACGCTATGCTTCTGAGGAAGGTATGAATTCATTAAAAAAATGTTATTTTCCCATTTTTTTTCCTTTATGATAGGGTATATATGCTTGCTGGAGAGAGAAAGTGAGAAATCATATCTCAAGGGGAGGCCCATGCTGCAAACCCTTCTCCATTCTCCTCTTGGAATTTTGGGCACACACCTGCATGCACACGTATCCAGTGTGTTTTTCAAGACACTGAGTCGGGACTCGAACTGTGTGATCAGCCGTGTGAGATCTAGTCGCCTTCCCCATCACACCACCAGCTGGCCCCATGTCCACTTTTAAATTTTTATTTCAAATTTTTTTCAGAGGGTACATGTGATGGGGTGGGGGAAGTGAGAAAGCAGCCCTCATGGGGGATGGTCGTTCTGCAGTCCCTTCTCCGTTTCTCCCTCCTTTCATGATCACCGGCATGTATGCACATGTGTCCTGTATGTTGCTTTCAAGTCTCCGGGTTCGGGACTTAAATTGTGCCATGTGAGATCCAGCCACCTTAAACATCACACCTTGAGCTGGACTTAAAACATCCTCTCGCATGATTAAAATAACTACTATTTTTTTTTCTGTATGGGCCAAATATGCAATTTTGGCAATAAACACGGTAACATGTAAGATAATGTTCATTAATGTATGCTAGTTTTCCATAAATGTCTGTTCAGTGTTAAGAAATTTATGGAAGAAAGTAAAAAAAAAAAAAGAAATTTATGGAAGCTGAAAAATAAATTATTAAATTTTTGATAAGAGCTTTGAAGAATTCTACTTCATTTCTGTACATATTAGAAGCCAACTGAAGTAAATATTTCAAAAAATGATTTGTTCATCGTGTTAATATTTTATATAAAAGTTACTTTTTTTGCTGTAACATGTCAATCTTTATTTTCAGATTGTGAAAAAAAACTTTTATCCAAAAGACCTGCTCATTTCTTAGATGAGTGTAAGGAAGAAAAATTTAACTATTTACTCCAGGGAGGTAAGATTTTTAGTTATTTCTTAGAATAAGTTCTAAGATGATAATCACATTCTTGTATTTTTAGCACAACAAAAGTAGGGATGCATAGGTTGCTAGAAAAATCCAAAGCTTAAGTACTTTCCAAAAACATTGAATATTTACTAATCCAAAATTCAATAGTTAAAAATTAATTGAAAATTAAAATATCAGGTCATCAGAAAAGTCATGATGCATTTTTGCATACAAAAACATAAGCAAAAAGTCATGACATTTTCCGAGGACCCAACATTATTTACAATATTACTGGGAAATGCACTCTGCAAAACTGTATTCAATTCATATTTACATTGATACATTGTAATAACTGTGGTAAGACAGGTGTTAGGTGTGTCAACACATCTAACATAGGCAACGTTAATTGGCAAAACCCCAAAAGATATGATCTAACTTGGACTTCCACTGATGAGATGTCATGCTAAATTATGTGTTATCAAGGTTCTTTATGTGTTTTATTGTTATGGGCTCCTTATATCAATACTTCATTTTACTAAGTAAAAAAAAGTCCATGTAGGCTTGTTAACATTGTTTTTAACTATGACATTTATAGTTTTGATTACCATTAAAGTAATAAAATTAAAGAAATATTAAACAACTTTGCCAAAGAGGTCTACAGTATCAAAATAGAACACCTTATGTCAAACATCCATTCTAACTAGTGGATCCAATGAGGGTGGGGTAAAGGTTGTGCTAAAATTAGGGAAGTAGGTAAAGTTATAGTCTGGTCAGAAATTTCTGGTCTTGGGATCAGCAGTTGGTGTAATGGTTATGTAGCTGGACTCCCATGTAGTTGACTGTGGTTCAAGTCCTGAACCTGGTGGCTTAAAACTCACGCTCCTGGTGCATGTGTGTGCATGCCCAAAGTGCCGAGAGGAGAATGGAGAAGGGATTGTGATGTAGCCATCCCCTGGGGAGTGATTTCTTGCTTTCTGATTCTGGCAAGTGCACGTGGTCTATAGCAAAAATCTCTTAAAAAAAATTTCTGGTTTTATATAATGAGATTAAATCTAGAGAGGAAATGTTTAAAAAATTTTTCTGGTCTTGTATAATGAGATTAAATCTAGAGAGGAAATGTTGTGGGAGAAATATATTTACCAAAATGCCTTCAGTCATGTGTCATTTCTCAAAACATTTTTCCCGACTTATCATTGGTGGAATGTGGTCTGTTTTACATTGTTGTCACCTCAGAACTGGATCTTTTCCTGTTAGCTGACAATAAAATAATCTTGAAAATTATTTGATGCCCTTGAAAGAGCTAAAGCCTACAGGTAGACTCTTCTCCCATGAATAAAAAAAAAAATAATTGGGGCCAGCAGGTGGTGTAGTGGTTACATGGCTGGACTCCCACACGGCTGACTGATGTTTGAGTCCTGGACCTGGTGGCTGGAAATCATGCCAAGTGCATGAGCCTGAGTGCCTCAAATCCCGGGAAGAGAATGGAAGAGAAGGGACTGTGGTGTGGCCATCCCCCCTAGAGTGTGATTTCTCACTTTATCTCTGTGTCTGTCTCTCTCTGGTGCACACATGTACCCTAAGGCAAAAACTTCAAAAGAAAATAATTATTGATGGAGCAATGCCCTGTGAATCTTAAAAGCAGGATGGCAGGAATTAGTTTGGGGAGGGTAGGGTTTGCTGCTTTTAGGGCAGAAAGAAAGGAAAAAATTAGGCTTAAGGACATATTTTGGGGTGGGCTCCGAAGAGTAGTGGTTAAATGCTATGCAGAGGAAGCCGAATCCCACATGGCAAGGCTCAAGTCCCAGCCCAGGTTAGCTCTGGCTTGGAAAGCTTACATGCTGGGTGTCTGCGTATGTGTCCAAGATCCCGACTGATGGAGAATTGGAGGAAAAAGTACTGTGGCATAACCAGGTCTTGAGAGAATGCTCTCTTTTTCTCGCTTTTGTGCACACATGGTCCTCTGGCATAATAAAAGAAAAAAATTTAAAAAGAACATATTTTACTATCGAATAGAAAGATATTAGGGACATATCTAATATATGCCATCATAATTATAATTGTGATCATAAGGAGGGTATACAAAGAAAATTCAAGTGTACAAATTGGAAAATAAATGTTACATTATTTGAAATATCTAAACTCATGGTAATGTGATTCTGCCTTTATAACTTAGTGATGTCTAAAATATGAAAAGTAATGTCTGAGATCAGCTCTAATTATTTAATACTATGTTGGGATAGTCAGTCATGGATTTGCTTTTAATGTGCATAGGAATAGAAAAATCTTTCTGAAGCTTGTTAAAATCCACAGTGCAATGGAAAAATCAGGAGATACTGTGAAGAGAGATTAGTAAGAACAGGATTAATGCTCTGCCTAGAAACAGTGGTGTCTGCTAAAACAGTGTGATTTTCCAGGTATCAGAAAGATCCCAATGGTCCTGAAATGTTTTGATGTCTGCCCTCCTGTTATCATGATGCCTCTTCTCTTAAAGTTTCTGCCATCGTTTCTAGTGCATCTCTCCTTTCTTGTTTCTGTATCTGTCTTCTCTCTATGTAATGATTAGAAGGCAGGTGTTTTGAAATTATTTTGGGCATGTGTTATATGCCAAGTAGCCAGTTCACCAGGTGCTTTCTTTAGAATTTAGACCAATGCTTCCCTAATTTTAATGTATTAATATATATGAACACCTGGAGGTTCTGCTTCAGTTGTTAGACAGGTCCCATGATTCTGCAAACCCCTAGCAGATGTAGATGTTGCTAATCTCAAACCAGAGTTTGAGTTGTGAGGGTTTAGATAATGATCGAGATGGAAAAGCTATCACTGAAATTTATGACTTATAAAGTGAACAATTTCTGGTACTATGCCTGAATATTTAGTATTGTGAATACAACATAGGGACCAGCAGTGGGGTGTAATGTCTACATTGCTGGACTCCCACGTAGTTGACTGCGGTTTGAGTCCCAGATCTGGCAGCTTAAAACTCACACCAGGTGCATGCATGCCCAGGATCCCGAGAGGAGAATGGAGAAGGCGATTTCTCCTTTTCTGTCTCTCTGTCTCTCTGGTGAGCACACAAGTCCTATGGTGAAAATCTCTCTTAAAAAAAAATTGTTAATACAAAATAATGAAGTGAACTAGTGTGTGATGAAAATAAAAGGAACATAATTTATTTGATAAAAAGTTAGGAAATTCAATGAGGCAACAAAGTATATGCTTGCAATCATTTAATGACTGTTTAAGGACATATGCTTTGCAAAAGATGAGCTGTTAACAGAAATCAGTAGAGTAATTTTTCACCCACTGCAAAATTACCAGAAGTATCTGCCATGTTTGAATATGGAAGAGGAAAACTATACTTTGAAAAAGTAATCAAATAAACTACTAATTATGACTTTGTCCTGAAACCATAATTTAAAAAAGAAGAATTACACTTGGCATTAATTGCTGAAATTGCCTAATTTATAGCAAAATCTAGTGTATCAGACATGAGTCAGCCATTTTTTTCTTATTTGCATATCTCTTCATTTGTTTTTTAAAAATCTAGTAACAAAATGGTATTTTCATTTTCATGATTGATTTAATAATTTTAATGTTGAATCAAATATTACAAACTGATTTATGGCTATCTTTGTATTGTTTTCTCTTGATTAAGAGATTCTTGCTAAAAAGATAATGCGCTTGCCTGAGAGACAGAGAGGCAGAAGAGAGAAAGCGAGAAATCATTCCCTGAGGGGATGGCCATGCCGCAATCCCTTCTCCATTCTTCTCTTGGGATTTTGGGCATGCATGCACAGGCACCTGGTGTGAGTTTTAAGCTACTGGGTCTAGCATTGGAACCGTGGTCAACTATGTGGGAGTCAGTGATGTAACTGCTACGCCGACTGCGCCAACTGGTCCCTTAGAAGATTTTGTTTTGTCTTTTCTCTTTATTTACATGTAGTGTAATTTTATATTCAATTTTATTAATGTTTACATAAATGGATACACAGATTCTAGTTGATTCAGCCTAGTAGAAATCATGGTGTTTACCTTTTGTCAGATTTAACAATGGGTTAATTATTCTGATTTTAGTGTAACGTGCTATTATATTAAGGTCATACTAATTCATTAAAGCCTGACTTACATTTTTAGCTGTAACTATGTGCCTCACAGTTCATTAACAGAACAAAACAACAACAAAAAAACTCTGAAGTTAAAGATTTTGCTGTATTTCATTATCCAAGTTTAACTATCTGTCTGGTTAATGGATTTAATAACAGTTATATCTTCATGAAATGTTTTAGACCTCTTTGAAAATGATATAATGTGTTGTTAAATAAAACTTAAAAATAAGAGACTTGCATTGATGCATAACAGATGGTCCACAGTTCAGCCTTATTATTGACAATAATCTTTAAAAACCAAATATAACCATTAACAATAGAGCATAGTTGTTTAGCTTTGTAAAAAATAAGTGACATAGTATTTAAAACTACTACTTCAAGTTGGTTTCAATTTTGTTAAGTCAGACTGCCTGAGTGGAATGCTGATTTTATTTAGATGCTATTTTATATTGTGAAAATTAGTTACCTTTTCTGTGTTTAGGTTTCTATTTTTTAAAACTGAGAATAGGATTAAGTAAAATAATGTATATAAAGCACTTATCACAATGCCTGGAACAAATATAATAAGTGCTCGGTAAATGCTATTAGTATTAGGATTAGACAGTAGGAAAAGACTTTTAAGCATAGACATTATTGGAGATTTTTACTCCTTTACATACTTTTATTGTCTTACATTTTTAGGTAGTCATTTTTCACATGGCATTTCAAGAGTACGACCTCTTAAGACGTGCAGTCGACCAATCAGGATTGGTTTGTCAAGAAAAGCTAGGCTTAAACAACTTCATCCCTATCTGAAGTAAATATGTTACAAGAATTTAAAAGAAGAGTTTGGACCGTTATATTTCAAAATATTTTAAAACATGTGAAAATGTTTTGTTTCTTTCTTTGGTTAAATGCTTTCTTCCAGTTTGGAAGGTGTTGGGTTTTCTAAAAATGATTATTATAAAGTGTGGATGACTTTACACACGTGTGTAGTGTGGTGACTTATCTTATTTACCTTTACAAGTCTTAAAATATTTCATTGATGTTTTCATATTACATGACAATACAAATTAAACCCCTCTTATAATCATAAAAATGTCAACTTATTATTTTTCATGATATATGCATATTATCCTTTTGTTGACAATACTGATAGCTTCTGTAGATGTCTCAGTAGGATCTTTGACTTATTTAACAGAAATGAACCACTGTTCTAAGTCCACTCTATTTTCAGGTGAAAAAATTAGAGATGCATAGGGATAAGCCTTTCAAGATTATAGAGTTGATATTAGGATTGAGATAAAGGATTTGTCTTCTGTTGAATTCTTTATCATTTTTGTCTGTCTTCATTTTCTAATCATTTCTTCCTCTGGGGCTTATCTTTGGCTTCAGATCCAAATTACGATGATATAGCTAATAATTTCCATTAATTTATTGATTTACAGGACAAAATTACTTTGGTGTTCCCACCATTGTGTTAGACTCAATGATATAATAGAGAAGTCATGTGTAAGACTTTGTATATGAAATATACTTTGAAAAGTTACTTAATTAAATTAATTAATTAATTAATTAATTATAAAAGTTACTTAATTTAATTAATTAATTAATTAATGAGAGGTTTTTGCTATAGAGTGCGTGTGCGTACCAGAAAGACAGAGAGACAGAAAACAAGAAGTCACCGCCCCAGGGTGTATGGTCAGGCCACAATCCCTTCTCCTCCATTCTCCTCTCAGGATCTTGGACACGCACACGTGCCTGGCATGAGTTTAAGCCACTGGGTCTGGGACTCAAACCTCGTCAGTTGACTACATGGGAGTCCAGCGACATAGCCATTACACTAATTGCTGGTTCCTATTTATTATTATTATTGTTATTTTTTTATTTGGCCCGAGACATGAGGGGGGTGGGGTGGAGAGAGAAAGTGAGAAAGCAAGATGCCAGGTCTGGGACTCAGACTGCTGTTGGCCATGTGGAAGTCCAGCACCTTAAGCATCACATTACCTGTTGACTCTCTGGAGCTTATCTTTAAAACATTATTTTAAAATTATGATTCCTGGTTTGCAAATAATCATTGTATATCTTTGTGGGGTACAATGTGATTTTTCAAAGAATGTATAGTATATAATCAATGATGAAGACATATCCATCTGCCTTAGCATCGAACAGTATGTGGCATTGTTCACATTTGATAATGATTCTACCAGTTTCTTTCTTTCTTCTGAAGTCTATATTGAATTGTCAGTGTTGTGCTTACTTGGCTGTGATATATAGTTCCATAAACTATTCCACTTGTTTACATGCATCTTGTGTCTGTTGATCATTTCTCCCAATGACTCCCCAAACCCCCACTACCTCCTTGGGGCTTCTGATAACCTACCATTACTCTTTCCAATTCTGTGCTATCAAATCCTTCAGTTTCCACCATATAATATGGACATTCGATATCTCTTAAGGGGGTCCAAACAGTATTTGTCTTTCATATCTGACTTATTTCCATTAGCATTATGTCTCTAGATTCATCCACTCTGTGTCAGACAACAGGATTTTGTTGTCCTTTATGACTAAGTAGCATTAGGTTGTGTATATGTGCCACATTTTCCTAATCCATTCATTGGTTGTTGGGTACTTAGGTTGATTCCATGTCTCATGTATTGGGAATACTGTTGTGATGAACATGGATATGCAAATATCTCTCTGAATAATTTCTGGTCCTTTGAGTAAATATCTGAGTGTGGGCTTATAATCATTCTACTTTTGGATTTTTGAGGAACCTCTATACTGTCTACTACAGTGGCTGTACTAATTTACATCCTCATCAACAGTATGTGAGAGTTTCTTTTTCTCCACAGCCTCACAAGCACTTATTATTATTGCTATTATTATTTTGATCATAAACATTATGACTGAGGTTAGATGATATTTCATGTGGTTTTGATTTGCATTTCCCTTGATAAGGGATGTTGAACATTTTAAAAATATATTTTCTAGCCATTTGTATGTCTTTGTGTGTCTTCCTTTGAAAGAGTTGTCTGTGCAGGTCTTTTGCCAAGTTTGGGATTTGTTTTTGAGTGAACTGTTTGAGTTTCTTGTGAATATATTTGTTAACAACTCTTATCTGAGGTAAAGAAAATATTTTCTCCCATTCCATGTATTGTCTCTTTATTCTGTTTATTGTTTCCTTTGTAGAACTAACTTTCTATGCCTGAAATTGGCAGAGAAATGTAGGATGTGTATAATTTAAAGGTAGTCATCTGTAGAATAAAATATACTTTTAAAAACATTAGACTAAGAAGGCCAGTCTCATAATATAGTAGTCGGGTGCTGTACAGAAGAAGCTGGGTCCCAGATTGGGTTTGAGTACTGTTTTGAGCTATATATTGGGTTCATACACCTTCCCAGGATCTGGATGGGGTGTAGAATTGGAGAAAAAAGGATTGTGGCATGACCAGGTCCCATGTGGGGGGGATGCATTCTGTCTCCTACTA